GAGTAACCCCGAGTTAAAAACAAAACCTACAGGCTTGATTGTTTGTCTATCATTTTGACAATGAAGTAGACTGAAACTAGGGCCTTGTGCAAACTAGATGGGTACTCTACCACCAAATACATTCCCAGCCCAGTTTTCTTTCTTAATGGATTTTTCTTAGTCTATCACACGAGACATTATGTTGAAATTTCCAAAAGAAGAGACAGTGATGCAGCATTTTCCAAGCTTACCCAACCCCAGCACCCTTTCTTCAAGAGATATATACACTAGAAAACATGGTGCTGGGGATAAAGTCCAGACTCAGCTGGCTGTCGGGCTGCCCAGCTTCTTTGCAGGCAGACCCTTTTACTCTCACCATGCATTCACATCCTAATGTGCCATTTCAGGACTTGAGGCTTCCTTTCCTTCCTCATGCCTCTGCCTGCAACAAACAGCAGTTCATTCTGACCTAAAACCCTTCCTAATTCATTGAGAGGAGAGTGCCATTGCACCTTCACAGACTCTAGTACATCCCCCGACTCTCGTATTCTCAAAAGTCAATCACAATTATACACCTACATGCTTGTTTTCTAAGCAAGAACTAAGAGGATCTTACAAACACAGACCAGGCATCATTCTCTGGCACTCACTATAAGGCATGGTATATCAAGGTCCTTGATGTTTGTCAAGTGAATGAATTATTCCAGATTAAAAATAAAATACAGATCAAATGATGCAAGCCTCTCGCTGATCCTCACATTGCTCATTGGTTTTAACACAGAGCCTTGCCCTGGAAGCTTTTCCAGTGCTATCTCCTCTCGCTCTATTGGATCCTTCTCATCAGTGTTCAACATGTTACGATCCTCTCCCATCTTCAAACCTTGTACTTACTCAACCTATCTCCTTTCCATTCCTCATCCTGTCACCTCTCTTTAATACCAAACTTCTCAAAAGCATTTTCTCTTTTCAGTGTCATTTACACACCCCCTTTGCTCCTCTAGCTCCTGCCCCCAACCTTGCCTTTGGGACTGTCCTAAAATTACTAATGACTTTATCTCATAAACCAGTGCCATTTTTAGACTAAGCTTATTTGGTCCAGTGATAACCATGGATAAATGGCTGACTATGCCCTCCCCAAACCCTGACTCTCATTTCAGAGACAATATTCTCTTCTGTCCCTCTGGCCAACATTCTCAGTGTGGTCCTAAAAACCCCTTAAATATTCATGTGCTTCCAGATTTTGGACTTGGCTCTTTGCTCTCCTTAGAGTCTTCCTGCAAAGGCTTATCTAGTTTTGTTTCCTCAGCTCCTCGCTATATGTTGATGGTAAAGTATTCCCACTGAAATGGTTATAACCTTTCTTTAGTTTCAGCTTTATGCATCCAACAACATTTTGGCTTTTGTTTTGATTTGGTTCTTTGTTTTATGAGATAGGGTTTCTCTACATAGTCCTGGCTGTCCTGGAACTCTCTCTGTAGACCAGGTTGGCCTCAAACTCAGAGATCCACCTGCCTCTGCCTCCTGACTGCTGGAATTAAAGACTGCATCCAATATCTTTTTAGACATTTCTCTGAGATGTTCTATGATTCTAGAGACAATAGGAAACGTGAAAAAACAAAAACAGTTTCAAAATGAAGAACTTATGAATGAGTTAAGAGTCAGCAGAAGAGAGAATTAGTAGTGTGGAAGACATATCTGAAGAAATTGTCTAGACTGTCGACAGAATCTCAGGAGGGAATAGAAAGTAAAAACACACTGGAAGAAAGAATGGTTGTAAATTTTCAACAAATAAACATGAACTTGTAGGTCTGGGAAATATATGTGGGATAAATAAAAAGGAATACATGCTGTGGTAGCCAATACACATGACAGCCCTTAGTGAGTCTCATACCCTGGTAACCACACCTTGTGTAGTGCATTCAAAATGTACCAGGGTTGGTCAAATGCAGCCACAGGCAGAATACGATGAAAATGACAGCGTGTTACTTTTGAGATTAAGCTATAAAGGAAATGATGGAAACCAGGTATGGTGGCTCAGGCCTGTAATCCTTTGAGAGCCTGAGACAAGATAATCACAAGTTTGAGGCTGGCTTGGGTACACAATGAGTTTCAGGCCAACCTGGGCTACACAATGAGTTTCAGGCCAATCTGGGCTACACAATGAAACTGTTTCAAAAAAAAAAAAAAAAAAAAAAAAAAAAAAAAAAAAAAAAAAAAAAAAAAAAAACCAACCAAAGAAACAAACAGCAAATTGTGGCTTCTGTATTGATTGTTGTTTCAATTCTTGTCCTTTTTGGGGTCACTGGCTCTGGGGAAGTCAGCTGCTTTGAGGAGCAGCCATGAGGATAGTCCCATGTGATGAGGAACTAAGGGCCTTTCTCCAAGCAATCCTCTAACACCTGTTATCTTAGAAGCCCATCAGAAGACAGCAGCCCGATGACAAGCTCTTAAAAGACAATGAACAGCCAGGAGGAGTGCTGTACACCTCTAATCACAATATTTAGGCGATGGAGATAAGAGAATCGGGAGTTTAAGGTCATTCTGAACTACACAGCCAGCCTGGTCGTAAGAGCCTCTATCAAACCAAACCAAACTAAACCAAAATAAGCACATCCCGAGCCAGAGCCATTCGGATACACTGGCTCCTGGTTTGCCGACCCTTAGAGAAACTACGTGAAATAATACTTTCTTAAGCAGCTAAATTTTAAGACACTTTTATGCAGTAATAGATAACTAATATATTGCCAAAACCAAACAGTTCTGAATCGCTTACAAAAAGCCTTCTCCATCTGGTCCAGACTGTCTCTCAGCCTCACTTCCTGCCATACTCTCTCTGGCATGTTACATTTTAAACACACCTCACAACTCGGAGCTTTTGGGACAGGACTGTGTTCTCTCTCCCACTCCACCCTCAATGCAGCTTCCACGATGCACCCACTGCTTGACACATTCTTCAACACCTCCTCTCCTACTTCCATACACTTGGCTAGCATCTCCCCATCGTCAGAGCACTGTACTACACCACAGAAAAAAGTCTTATTACACTGCCCATCTTCCATCAGATTTAAAGCTCCAAGAAGAAGGGAGCAATTCCTGCCTCCTTTACACCCCCACAGTTCCCAGCACACAGAAGACACTCTGTAGATATTTGTTGCTTACATCCTACAAGGTAGAGCCAGGCAGGAAGGCTAAAAGTTGAAGCATAAACGTTCTCAGGAAATGATCCAAGTAAGATCTTCACCTGATATAACTGTAAAGGAACCAAACCCCACCCCACCCCCCTTCATTCCAAGCAATTTCAAGTTTAGGGAAGGCTGAGTAAGGTCAGGATTCAAAAGTTGGATGGATTCCAGTTCTTGCTAAGTCAAATCTCATGGTAGTTCTATTATGGCCCTTGAGCTGTAATGTCTGAACATCCGACACACCCATTCTGGAAAGCACTCAAAACTATACTCAAAGGTCAAACAGAAATGGTTTTTAAAATGATCACCTGTCCTGCCTTTTAGGACAATCCTAGCTTATTATGTTGAGATTTAAGATCTGATCACGTACGGTATCTGTGGTATGTTTCTAAACAGGATCATATATATATATATATATATATATATATATATATATATATAT